AGTTGATTCTATGCAAGATTGTAAACCTTTGCAGTTGTATTCATATGCAGATTGTAAACCTTTGCAGTTGTATTCATATGCAGATTGTAAACCTTTGCAGTTGTATTCATATGCAGATTGTAAACCATTGTAGTTGTATTCGTATGCAGATTGTAAACCTTTGCAGTTGTATTTATATGCATATTGTAAACCTTTGCAGTTCTATTCATATGCCGATTGTAAACCTTTGCAGTTGTATTCATTTGCATATTGTAAACCTCTGTAGTTGCATGTATTCATATGCCGATTGTAAACCTTTGCAGTTGTATTCATATGCAGACTGTAAACCTTTGCAGTTGTATTCATATGCCGATTGTAAACCTTTGCAGTTGTATTCATTTGCATATTGTAAACCTCTGTAGTTGCATGTATTCATATGCCGATTGTAAACCCTTGTAGTTGTATTCATATGCAGATTGTAAACCTTTGCAGTTGTATTCATATGCAGATTGTAAACCTTTGCAGTTGTATTCATATGCCAATTGTAATTTTTTGCAGTTGTATTCATATGCAGATTGTAAACCTTTGCAGTTGTATTCATATGCATATTGTAAACCTTTGCAGTTGTATTCATATGCAGATTGTAAACCTTTGTAGTTGTATTCATATGCAGATTGTAAACCTTTGTGATTGTATTCATATGCAGATTGTAAACCTTTGCAGTTGAATTAATATGGAGATTGTAAGCCACTATGGTTGTATTCATATGCAGGTTGTGAACCACTATGGTTGTATTCATATGCAGATTGTAAACCACTATGGTGGTATTCATGTGCATATTGTAAACCTTTGCAGTTGTATTCATATGCATATTGTAAACCTTTGCAGTTGTATTCATATGCAGATTGTAAACCTTTGTAGTTGTATTCATATGCAGATTGTAAACCTTTGTAATTGTATTCATATGCAGATTGTAAACCTTTGCAGTTGCATTTATATGCAGATTGTAAACCTTTGTAGTTGTATTAATATGGAGATTGTAAGCCACTATGGTTGTATTCATATGCAGATTGTAAACCACTATGGTGGTATTCATATGCATATTGTAAACCTTTGCAGTTGTATTCATATGAAGACTGTAAATCTTTGTAGTTGTATTCATATGCTGACTGTAAACCTTTGCAGTTGTGTTCATATGCAGACTGTACACCTTTG